CCTGCTGTATCTTGATCTTTGTTCTAAGCGCCCTACGCAAACCAAGAGATTCAAAGACCAGATTTAAATTGTATATCATGTAATTCCTTGAAGAGCCTGCTTTTCTTGCATGGCTAACTCATGCATGCCTACCTCAAGTACAAAAGGGCATGTATGCTTTGCGCAAGACTTTCCAAGACCTGTCTTCAGATTGGGACCGTGTTCTCAAAATGGGGTGCAGTAGGCCAACAGCAGCTTCGAAGCTCCTAAAAGGGAAGAAACAAAGCCTTTCACGGTATAAACACTCAAAAGTGGAAGGATAGGAAAATGAGAGAAAATAGTACTAATGTGGCCTTTGCAAGAATTCCTTCTGACTGAAAAAACCAGTTGTTTTGAAATTCCTGTTGCAGAGAGGGTCAGGTTGTTTTGGGGTTTGTGAACTGAATAGAGGCCAGAAGATCCAGGCCCTCAGTCTCCTTTCCCCTAGAGCAGCCAGCTTGGCATGCGGGACTTATACAGGTGAAAGTAAGGGAATTAGATTCTTGGTATTGCTCCTTTTCTCCTCTGTCTGAGGAAATTATTGCAAGGGAAAAACAGGGTAATTTGCCAACCATGAAAGAATATGCATCGAGACGAAGTGTTACTCTCTGTTCTTTTTCAGGTGAGCCCTTTACTCAGGAAGAAATGGAGGCTATGCTCTCTGCTGCTCTAGATCCAGAAACAAACACTGTTCGCTACAAAGACTACATTACATTGATAACAGCAGGCGACGTTACCAAAAAGTAACTCAAACTCTGTGAGGGAAGCTCTTAAACATCATCTAGCTTGGCACGTAGTTGAAATGTGTATAGTATAGCATAGCAAAGCTTAGCTTGTGACCTTGTGCTTAAAATAAAATCTGTGTAGCTATATTTCCTTGGGATCTGCATATGTATTGAAATATATTCACACTTGGAAAAAGAGCTCTTGACAGAAATATTATGTAAGGGCTGGAAAAGAAATCATGATATTTGGTTTGAAAAATAACAGGAAAATAATGCTAATGGAGACAAAAAATTACTTTACAATTGCATTTGAAAAACTAATGGAAAAATGAGACCTGCGAAAGCAGGAAATAAGTCGGTAAGTTGAGTACCTTAAGATGCCTGAAAATGTGAAGGCACGCTACTAAGATAAAGCTTTTATAGCTAAAAGTAATCCCTGCTTTTGTTTAACTAATAGGGTACTGGGCAGATTACTACTTTTGAACTAATAGTATAGATCAAGTAAACTTTCTACAGCTTTTAGTTTCTATCAGACTTTTATGTTTTGCTTACCATAGGCAATTAAACTGGACCAGTTAGTTCTATTTTTTTGTTTCTCATACGCTGACATGTGTATTTTGCTTCTGTTTTAAACATACCGTTTTGCTTCTGTTTTAAATATGCAGGTACCACTCGAACCATTGCCTGTGCCAAATTTACAAAGAAAGTAATCCTTGAAAACGTTCCTGTTATTACAGGCAATTGACAATTCCCGTTTCTTAACCAGTTTGAAAGTCATGATCCTAAACAGTTCGAAACTTAGGAACATAGGACTGGAATTTGATTTTCATGAACTGATCAAGCACCATCTTTTAAAAAATGTTAGTGTATTACTTGTCTCAACTACCCTAACTAGAAGGCCACTGCAATGCTCTTGTCATTGCCAGCCTAACCACTTTCTTGACTGTTGCTGTGCTATTGTTCTTTAACTTGTGGAGTTCTTCCCCCTCCCTGGGGTTTGTCCCATAGCGTTTTGAGATATTAATATCCCCTCACAGCTTTTGTTCTGTGAGGCAAAACAGACTGCCTCTTTTAAAAATATTTTTGTATGGGATTGGAGGGCCTTTTAATCTCTAGAGAAAATTCATCTGTAAGTTTCTGGAACTGTGTGCAGTATTCCAGATGACGGCTGTACAAGCACCTTGATCATTAATATTTCTGTCCTTCTACTAGATCTAGCTTTCTAGATGCATCCTGATTTTGTGTTTGCCTTTTTTGTGGCTATAACACAATTCTTGTACATAATCTTCTAATAACTGACCAGCAGTTGCCCTCAGCTGGTGAGGCCTTAGCTTATAGGAGAAGATCCTGTGGTCTTGTTGCTGAGGACACCATCTTGCACTTTGTACTCCACACTTTCCCCCATTTCTATTTTTCTAATCCCCAGAGCATTTGGTTTCCTCCTGGATAGTGTCCTACCACTCCCCTGTATTAACTGCATATCCCAACTCTGTGTCATCAACAGACCTCATCAGGTGATGAAATTCTGGGGAAGGCTGATGTAGAGAGGCATGAAGTGCCTTACCCAATCTCGTGTGCTTCTAGTGGTGGAGCTGAGAAGAGACCACAGGGATCCTGATGTCAGGTCTTTTGTTCTACTCACTTGTTTCATTTCTTGATGAGCTGGAAACTCAGAGGAGCTGTTTTAATATACATGTTCATGAGAGCTGCTTGCTATGCTTCACAAAGAAGGGATTAGCACAATCTAAATGTGGTGACAGAAGCAATCTGGAAGATAGATAGAGACTTTTTTTTAATTCTCTTTTTACATGTCTGACCCAAATTGTCTTTCACTGACCCTTCCCTAAACAGTAGGGCAGCAAAGAGTTAATGCAGGTAAGCAACATCTGCCTAAATCTGAGTGGGGTTTCCCTGTGGGAACAACAGTTGCTCTGGTCCTAAGACTCTTTACTATCCGCTCATAACACGTTTACTATATATTTCATTTCTTTGTCAGTGATAATGAAAAAGCACAGGTTAATCTTAAATTAATCTTAAAATGTGTGAAGGTGTAAATTTTTGAAGAGTAAAGGAAGAGCATCAAAGAGCTATTAAGAAAAGATTTTATTTTTTATTAGTCATCTTTAGTCTGTCTTTGGAAGGAGAAATTACAGTTGCTTTCCCTACCTTGGTCCTTATTCTGTTTGATATAAAGTGGGTTACTGGATCTCTAACACAACTGGCATGCATACAAGTCTCATTCATATTCTGCAGTCTGGGAGCCACTGTCAGCCTCATCTTGGATGTCAGCAGGAGGATGCTCATTTCAGGAAATTACTTCTTAGCTCACAGTGTTCCAGAGAGAGCACAATTTGTGCCAGTGGTGGAGTGACCCCAGAGGTCTGCCTCAGCCAATACTGCATCAAATCAGAATGCCCATGTACACCACAGTTGCAATTTATATTACGGTTAGGCTCTTAACATATATCTGTTATCATTTTTATCCTATAGTCCTTAAATGCATGGGAAGAAAGTATCATAGCAAGTAAAAAGTGGGATTGCATCTGAATCTGTTATACAACAAATCTTCCACACCCCATCTTCAAGAAGGATATGTACAGATGTGACAGATAAAAAGCAGGTTGCAGACTTCACTTTGGGCATAAGCAACCAAATTCAGTTGCCTAGAGAGTTTCCATAGTAGGACTGAACGCAGTGTCAAAAGCCAATCTCAGAGTCTGTAAGATCCCAAAAGTTGAGTGCTCCCTGCCTGCAAGGATCACATAGCAATAGTCTGACATGCTTGTGAAGGGGCTGCCTCATGGGTCTCCTCGGAAGCTGCAGAGCACCACAGCACTTTTTCTGCTGCACTATTTCTTGCCCCTTGGCTTTCAGGACTTGCCGATGCGTGCGGTGCCCACTCTGCTGCCCATTGTGTTGAGGGGCTGCACGTGAAGACTCTTTGCACCTTGCTGGGATGGGCTCTCTGAGCTCCCCGTGTCTCTCTGCTCTTTGTGTGTGAGCACGGGTGAGGGCCCGTGTTCCAGGGAAGGGTCTCAGTATGAGGCCGCCAACAGTGCAGGGACTCTGCCCAAGGGACTCTGGCCTTGCTCTGAATCTGGGCCTCTGTTGGGCCAAGTCAGCTGGGGAGGTGAGCAGGCGTAATGAGGAGAAAGCATGACCTCTGCTCCCATCCAAGTTTTTTCCAAACTTCTACTGAACCTTCCCGACTGGGGACTTCAGGGAGCCATTTTGCTATCACTAGAAAAAAACTATTTGTTTTTAAATTTGAGTGGAAAAATATGTTATTTTGACCTCATCTTTGAAGTGGACAAATTTAACTTCATCTATGCTGCTGAGCAGTCTTGAGGTGTCTCTCGCTGCATGCCTCTCCTTGCTGGCTGTTTTGACTCTTCCCTCAAGATCAGGAACCAAGATAAGTGAATGGATTGCACCAGGCAGCCTCTAGGGAGAAGCCAGCCTAGCACCTGGAATGAATCCATGCAGGGAAGCAGAGCCAAGGCTTTGAAGAAGCTGGGGAAGTCAGAGGGTTTTTGACCTAGTTGAAGGAGGGAGAGGGAAGGGAACTCATTACCCGGAGATGAAAAAGAAAAAAAAAGAAATCAAAGAAACAAATCCTGAAAACCGTCCACAAATACAACTGAATCAGCAGGTTGTTTACATCACTGCTGCAAGTTGTAGGCTAGACAAGACTTTACTTGTTTAAAACATTAACTGCGTTCAACTGTGTCAGGAGATATCTGGTATATAGTGGAGATTTCTTCCTCAGTTTTACTGGTACTATGAAGACATTCTTTCAGCTGCTGAACTAACATTTGAGAGTCCAGTTGCTCATAGTCCAGGTAATATGTTGCTTCTTACCTTTTCCTCATCAGCTTTGGAGCTGCTTCTTCAAGGCACCTTTCTGTCTGCTAGTGATAGTCCCACGTATATTCACATCTGAAGGCTGGAAGATTTCCCGTTGCAGTATATGCCAGCATGGTATTTGCAGCTCTTTCAGACTCTTCACTGGTCATGGGCAGAAATAAAAGTTGCAGGACTTTCCTCACCAAAATGCTGAAGGGCCAGCATCAAACTTGGGACTAGAGGAAGGGAAATGAACTGCAGACCTATGTTCCCTCCACCCACGTTTTCACAGAGGTGAGAGCCTGCAAAATGTTCCCCAAGTCACTGCTGTGTTAAGAAACTTCCTTGAACTCAGCCAGCCCAGGTTTTCTTATTGCCTTGCAGTTCCCTGTATATTTTAGCCCAAGATAGGGAAGATCAGTAACTGTGCCTTTCCCTGGTGGCTTCAGTGCTGCAGGAGAAGGTCAAAGATAAATGAGTCAACATAAACATTATGAAATTCAGCAAGGGCAAACGTGAAGTCCTGCCCCTGGGAAGCAAGCTGCATGTGCAGCAATGCAGGCAGGGGCCTGACTGCCTGGGGGCAACTCCGTGGAGAAGGACCTGGGGTCATTTTGGGCAGGGAGCTGAGCATGGAGCCCGCAGTGTGCCCTGGCAGCAAAGAAGGGCAACAGCATCCTGGGCTGTACTAAGTGGAGGAGCGTGGCCAGCAGATTGAGAGAAGTAATTATCCCCCTCCACTCATCACTTGTTAGACCACAGTCTAGATACTGTGTCCAGTTTTGGGCCTTCCAGTACAAGGAAGACATGGATGAACTGGAGGGAGCTCAGCGGAGGGCCACCAGTGTGGTTGGGGCTGGAGCATCTGTCCTGTGAGGAGAGGCTGGGGGAGCTGGGCTTGATCAGCCTGGAGATGAGATAGCTTCAGGGGGACCTAACAGCAGCCCCCTGGTACCTGCGAGGAAGGTATCAAGAAGATAGACAGTGCCAGGCTCTTCACAGCACTGCATGGCAGGGGGACAAGAGACAATGGGCATAGGCTGAAATGAGAGAGATCCAGATGAGGTATAAGGAAAAGCTTTTTCACCCTGAGGATAGCCAGGCAGTGGTATAGGCTGCCCAGAGAGACTGTGCAGTCGCTGTCCTTGGAGGGTTTCAAGACCCAATAGGATAAAGCCCTGAGCCCCCTGGTGTGAGCCCAGAGCGGACCCTGTTTTGAGCAGGGGATTGGACTAAAGAGGTCCTGAGGTTCCTTCCAACTCAAATGATCCCACAATACTATAATTCATGGAGCCACTTGCCAGATTCTTCTAAATATGAGCAAAAAGCTACTGGACAAGTTATCAGGACATATTGGTCTTTCCTCTGCTGACTAGAGAGATTGTCTGGCCACTTTTGGGGAAATTCAGTTAGCATTGCACAACTTTCCAGACTTCTCCGGATCTAGCTGATGCGATGTTTGCATCTTTGGCTGAGATGGTCTTCTACCAATAACTGGTATGTCTTCAAAGCCATGGTTTCTCAAAAGGATGCATTTGTGTTGACAGTCTTCCGAAGACAAATTAAGCCTTGCCTAGTCAAGGCCTATGCTGCCACTTTGTATTTATTCAGCTCCTTAGTTCCCAGGAGAGATCCGGTTCCAGGTAACGTGTCCATTCAAAGATCTGTTATGTAAACTCCCTTTTCTTCACTTACATCTTTTAAACTCCTGAAGACATAGCAAAGAAAGCATTAACATTTAAAGAACTATAAGATGTGATGAGATTTAGAGATCCTCTGTTCAATCCCGCTGCTCCCAGGAGCACCTTTGAAATTATGGGACAGGGGAGGAAACCTTCTCCGTGTCTCATTTTCCTGCCTATTCATGGGAGTGTGCCTGTAACTGTGGCTTGCAGGTTTTAGAGATCATGATACCAAAC